TATATCTGTATGCACAAATTTTGAATTGTACACAGACATGTCCCTGTTGTGGAGGAAGAGAGGTCAAAGTGGTAACGGTGGTGGGGGAAAGTAAGATCTGGGAACTCCAAAAATTAACATCCCAGAATCATAGAATTTCAAAAGACACAGTAAGAAAAGCACATTCTGATATAACAGAAACACCTTATTTAAATTTGGTGAAAAATCACATCCTTCAGAAAGCCTTAGAAACAACTATTGGCAAGGAATAATTTATGTTGTTCGAGAAGGAAGAAATATTGCTTCCCCCGTCCTAGTACGCTACTAATGTAATACGCACATGGAAGTTGGAGATAAAACAAACTGGTGACAGTAAACTTTTATACTCACAAGGCTACCACAGTAGACAGATGATGGTAACACAAGATGGCTTTAGAAAAAATGAGAGTGAATAAACAAAAAGTCCTTTGTTTGTTGACCCTCCTTCACGGCTCATCCACTGTCCCGTGTGTTACTTTTAACATGTATTATTTAAAGGCTTCATATACTTTAATTCTCACAATAATCCTACAAAGTAAGTTATTATTAATCCTAGATGATAAGAAAACCAAGATGCAGAGATGTTAACCTACGTGCTATCAAAGCTGCAGAGCCAAGATTTAACCCTACGCTGCCTCCATGATTCTTGATGAGACATAAGCTCTGTACCTATTACCTAGAAAAGCCAATACTTCTTCAGTATAAGGAATATATGTAGAAAGTGATATAGGCTGAACTGTATTACCCCCAAAATTACAGATTGAAGTATTAGCCCTCAGTACTTCAGAATGTGACTATATTTGGAGAATGGGCCTTTATAGAGGTAATTAAAATGAGACCAGTAGGGTCAGCCCCAATCCAATCTGACTGGTGTCCTTACAAGTGGAAATTTGAATGCAAAGGCACACCAGGAGCTCTCATCCACAGAGGAAAGACTATTTGAGGACGCAGGGAGAGGGCAGCCATCTGCAAGCCAGGAAGAGTCTTCAGAACAAAACTAACCTTGACAACACCCTGATTTTGGACTTCTAGTCTCCAGAAATTTCTGATGTTAAAGCCACCCAGTCTGTGGCATTCTGTTACGGCACCCCTAGCAAATTAATATATGAAGAATGAAGAAATCATCAAATGTAGTACTATACATAGACTGCATAAGTAACAGCAACTCATCTGTTGTTCAAAAGTGGACTGAGGGTTGTTATAGATATTGGCCCTGTAAATGAAGCAGGAGAGAGTTCGATCCCTGGGGGCACTAAAGGATTGTGGCTATGTCTGCCAAGCATGCTCTTTCCAGTTTACTTCCCTCATATTACTACGTCTACTTCTTCTCTCTCACACATATAGAAACATGGCTGAATGTCCCCACAACGCCAACATACATGCCCTAACAAGCAAGGTACATGATAAATTAAAAGCATTTCAAGGCATGGCCCAGTGTTGCTACCTCAGATCTTGCTAGAATAACATGACATTTATAAAAATACAACCCACTGGATGTTTGGCACTGCTTGGGAATGAAGAATATGTTCACTTAAGAGCCAATACCCCAGGCTGTCAAAGAAATCTTAGGCCAAAATTTCTGTTATAAACATTACCTATCTTTTAAAATTCTACAGTCTAGGAAGTAAAGAAAATGTCTCTGCTTCTTTACAAGTTTCCTTTTGCCTAAACTGAAAAAAGATAACCATATATAAGAACAAGAGAAATGCTCTGTCAGGGCACATTGATGCAACCGCTTTTGCATCTGGCAAAAAGCATCAACACTTCCAGCCTTGTCCCCAGGTCACCCTCATCCCCAACATGTACCTACATAGAGCTCAACACCAGCTACCTCCAATCCCAATACACACTGAAAGGGGTTTACAGATTACAAATAATGTTCTCGTTCACTCTTTCACCTACCTTTGACCATAAAACAAAACTTAACATCTGGGAGGATAAACTCAGTCCCTAACACATATGACAAGGGTGAGCAGTTATCAAGAAGTTCTCAAGAAAAAAGGATTTGCTAGCTTCCCTTTGAGGTCCAGGCCCTGACAGGCCAACTGAGCTATGTCTGAGTTCCCATCAGGCCTCGTGCTTGCTGGCTGCTATGTTCATTCAGAACCCCATGGCCCAATTGTCCTATAAATATTTTGCCCTTCCGTTGAGAACTGCTCACTTAATCCTTAGGTCTTGGAGCCGAGAATATGCTATTTGAGAGCTGCAGGCTGAATGTTAACTAACACTTGGAGCACAGCTGACCCCTCTCTTCTCCAGGCCAGTGACTGCTCTAAAAAAATATGAACATTCACATGAACATAACAAGAACAGGAAGAAAAGTCCAGATTTTCCTCACCATGTGCCACCCAGCCATGTTTACACTGATCGCAAGTCCTCAGGTTAATCTTCCCCGGCTGAAAACATTCACACGTGCAGTTTACCAGTGTGCAACGGATGGCCTGAAAAATAAAAGAGGGGAAAAAAAGATCAGCATCTCTTGCAAGGCACTATATTTCAACAGTTTACTAAATAGCACACACTTCCATTTTTGAAGTCTTTATGTTGGTAGGAGCCTGGAAAGTTTTTTTAAACCTTCGAAATCTCTGACCAAAAAAATGTAAGAAAACAAGGCTCATTCACTAATAGGATGTTTCATGTTATTCATACGTAACCCTGAAATTAGAAACAAAGACAAAGTAGAGTAAGAATAAAGGATTACTTATTCTATAAGATGCTGTATTTGTAACACCATGGATCCAAAAGAGAAAAAAAATATTGCTGTTACTATATAGTCCTATATTGCTGTTACTATATAAGTTTATCCATTTGGCACTAATGCAAAAAAAATATAAATTCTAATACGACAACGTTCAAGTGAAATGCTGATGAAAGTAAAACACAACATACAAATATTATTAGAATATTCTTTTTTTCTGCTGAATTTCACTTAAATACTTTGTTAATCTTTCAAAAACATCCTGAAAGACAGTCCCATTAGCCCAACTAGACCTAGCATACTTCTTATATTAATCATTTCCCAGTTCCTTGTTTTTTTCTCGTTCAATATATTAATTCCACTTTCATTCCTATTTTGAAAATATAAAACAATCCTCCTTTTATTTTAATGATGACATAAGAAAATAAGTTTAAATTTGTTTTAAGATTAGATGTAGAATAGGAAACGCCATTTATGTGAACATTTTCTATTTGGAACAATCCAACTGTATCTTAGAAAACTGACAAATATGCTCAAAAATCTTTCATTTCTTTACAAGTACTTTTAAAAATCATCTCACCAGTTTATATTATAATGTGAATCCACGGAAAATTAGCATAAATGAAGTGCAACTTTTTTATGGATAAAAACCTATGCTTAAGAATTGTGCTATAGCTGACCTGTGCTCCTGGACTACAGTTAATAAATTATCTCATACATTTAGTTCTAATTTGCATGGAAATTCTGAAGACAGAAGGGATTTAGTCCGATCATTCACAGATTAACAATCTACTGTAACTACCTGAACTGCCAGGAAAAGATCTCTCTATAGCTTTATATGCAATCAATGATTACTGATTTGAGTGAGAGGGGTACGGGGGCAGAGGCATGAGGCTACCTGAAACTGCAGTTCTGTATCTCAAAGCTATGCTCACATACCTCCAGATGCTCATATTCCTGGAATCATTTGGATTTCTATATAAACTGTCTCATTTGTGAGAGACAGCATTTGACATATCAATATGGTTGGGCCAAATTCCATTTACAGAGAATATGACCGAACAGTCTTTTACTGTTCCCTATGCTTTGGATCAGACAAGTTTAAAATATTCCTCTTTTGTTAATGAATATTAAATCTATAGGTTCCTATTTGGTTTCTGATGTTAGAGTACTTACTGTAGACTCTTTTCTTATTTAACCTCCATCCCTAATTTGCTCTTCTAATACCATCAGGGAAATACGCAATTGTATAATCTGCCTGATATTTCAGGGTCTCTTTTCCAGTGTTAACAGGCTAATTATATTTTAGCTAGGTTGTAAAGCTCTGATGTATGTATTAGCGATTAAAGGGCTTAGTAATAAGAAATGAGGACACCAAAGGAAATGATGACTAAGCAAGAATGACGTAAGTATTTGTAGATTGTAAGGAGATGTTTCTCCCAAATTTCTTATTCCAACTTCAGTAGTTTACTGACTGAGCTTATTAGAACTTCTCAGGTTAGAAATAGCTTCTTTGAAGGACATGTTCATTAGTTAATGAACTCATAACTTGATTGTACTATGGTCAAAACAAAATAGTTTATAGGATAGTGTTGCAACTAAAAACAAGGCACTTTACAAACTATCCAATTATAAATTCAGATATGGCAATCAAGTTGACATTAAAATACTGATATAATCTGAAGTGTGATAATAAGATTTCATAAATTCTTTAAAAAAAAAAACAAAAAAACAAATCCTCTACTTTACCCAAATTAAGAGATGACCAATAAAAACAGATGATCTCTCAAAGGCTATATGTTAACTCCAGCCCAAAAGATATATATTTTTTAAATCATTAATTTGATAATATTTAATTATTTTACAAAAATAGCCTAATTTTACATGACATTTAAAAGCACATTTTGTCAATTTTAATTATAGCTATATTCAGGACCAGAACAAATTAAGAGACCGTGGATTTACTTTATTTTTATGTATATTTCTTCACTGGTTGAATCATTGATTGACTTACTCTGAACTAGTTTATGATTCAAATATTTTCTCTTCCTAAATAACTTCATACATCTGGCACATTTGGGAATTAAACTTTTCAGATCATCATCTTTCATGTATATATATAAATTCTATTCTTTTTGTACCTAAACATACAAACATTGGAACACCTCAACTCCTTTTGTATATAAACACATAAGTACTGGAATATCCATTTTGTATTTCTATGAATTCCAGAAGGTCTATTTGTTTTAAATCCAGATTTATATAGACTACGATTGTTCCTTAAGGGAATTATATATATTTAAACAATATGGTCTAAATAAATATTTTGAGTTAGAGACTATTGTGGCTTCAAAGGAAGTTTTATTCTAAATAACATTTTTGAAACGGTATAGAACTTTGACATACTATTTATTCACAACAAAATAGAACCAATGTGATCACTTGCCAACTCACCCACACTTTAAAAAAATAAATTATCATAAAACTATCAAAGCCAGTTAAGCCTCAAAAATGTACATGCTTTACAAGGAGACAGTTGAGAAGAGTAAAAGTGGATAAACTTTCATTTTTATGAGTATATTCATTTCTCCCTTCATTCAGCTAACATGAGTGCTACCCACTCATTGCTGGGCACTATGAACTATAGAAATCCAAAGATGATTAAAAAAGCGGGAGGCAGAAAGGGGACAAGAAAAGTGCAGACCATTTAGTCAGATTGTTCCCACTTATATATGCAGGGACGACCTTATGCAGGTCAGGCTAACTCAGGCTATCAACCCCTCCATGCCTCCAGGATCCTGATTCATCAAGAATGTCCTGTAATTCTTTCCTCCATTCTTACGTGACCAGCATCCCCCAATCCCCACAAACAACAATATTAATAAATTTTCTTCAGACTGCAACTTATTAAAAGTAATTTTTCCTTCAGCTTACCTTTACCATGAATTTCTTGAAAGAAAAATCCATGCACCCACCACGCAACTGCTTCCACTTCCTCACTGCCACCTACATTTTAATTTTGCAATCTGAATTCTGTTCCACATGTTCCTGAAACTGCTTTCTCCAAGAGGAATGTTCTCATCACATCTGTTCCCTTATCCTGGTCTTTGTCCTCCTTAGACCTCAATGCAGCTTGCGGCACTAACTCTTCTTCATAAAGACCAACTATCCTAGTTTTTCTGGCAATAACTTCTCACTCTCTTGCCTCTGTAAATAAATACAGGTGTTTCCCATGGCCAGGTTCTACATTCTTTAATTTGGCAATTTCATCCCCTCCTACAGCTTCAAATATCATCACTATGCAAAAACCATCTCTTTGGAGCCAAGAACTGGGTTAAGTGGCAGGAAATGGATGGCAGAGTCCCTATGCTCAAGGATTTCACAGTCAGAGTTTGAGGCCAGTAGGGTTTAGAGGAGAGACCCTAAGAACAGAAGGAAGCCCTTAACCAAGTTTAAGAAACACCATCTCTCCTTTTTTATTCCTCTGCCTTTGCTTCTACCAAAAGGTAGGATTTATTTATTTACTTCTAACAGTAAACTATTACCTGTTATCCATAATAGTTAGATTTACTAGATATTTGCCATTTTCCAGATCTTGTGCTAAAAACTTTACAAACATCAACTTTCTTAATCCTAAGAAACTACCACGAGATTGGTACTATTATTACCTTTATTTCACAAACATGGAAGCTGAGGTAGAGATAATTAGGTATCTTGCCTAAAGTCGCTCAACTAGTGAAGTCACAGGAATGAGACCCAGGTCTGTGTGAGCTCTCTCTCTGACTGGAAATCTTGATTTAAAATCCTATTCACAGTTAAGCACAGCCCCTCTACGTGCCCACCATCAAACCCCCACTGTGTACTTTTAACTCCTACCCATCTTTCAGACTGCAACTCAAACATTACTTCCAATTCCCCAGGGCAGTTGCCCTCACCTCCCAATCATGGCAAGTTCCCCATCGGTTTCCTGTTTCACAAGGAATCTTTCTGTCATAGCATTTATCGCAGTTGTGAACATTACATTAATAATTTATCTATGTGTTTTTATAATCTATTACAGACAAATACAATGTTATATTTATACATTTGTGTGATTATTTGACTGAGGTCTATCTCCTCATCTAAAGTTTAAACTCCATGAGGGCAGGGCCATATGTGTTGGGTGCTCAAGGCACCTAAAGAAACACATAATTTTCTGAGCCCCTCCTCATCTGTAAAATGAGGGTAACAACATCACACGAATGTCAAAAGACTTAAATGAAATAATAAATATAAAGTATATGGCACTGTGCCTAGCAATAGTAAAAGCTCGATAAACCCTTTATGACCTCAAGAAACTTTCCACAAATAATATTTGAATTATTTTTTCCTTATGATTCTTCCCAATGTATTAAGTTTTTCCAACACCTTGTAAAATGCTTAACACATATTTAGTCTTAATTAATAAATGAACACTTTGACATACATGAGGCCATACTATTCATACTATAACCCTCTACAGTGAGTACGACAGGGATTATTAGTTTTAATACTGCGGTTCAGATATGTTTATATGGGTGTTTCATAGCTCTTAAATGATAGGGTAAATTTCCCAATTATTAATCAGTTTATTTCTATTACTCATAGAAAAAGGAAGAAAACATACAATTAAAACCAGTATATTATAAAAAACATTCAAAAGTATCTCAATTACATGAAGTAGGCCAATCTAGTATAAAAATATTTGATCCAGTTTTGATCAGT